TTTATATCTGTATGGGAGATAGTCAGAAGTCGCTTTCCGTTCTATTCTATCTATCTTCACTATTTTAGTTTTTCTTTTTTCTCTTTTTTCTTTTAGTTCTATTTTCTATTTTTACTGTATTCTCTTTTTTGTTTTTAATTGTATTCTTAATATAATAAAGTTCTTATAAAGAGAAAAGGTTTGGGTGAGAAAAAGGAGCTTCTGTGCCTCTTTTTCTTGCCAAATCCCTTCATATCCATTTTCCATATTGCAGCAAGCTGACCTTTAAGAAATTATCATTTTTCAGCTAATGTAGTAGAAATTGTTATTTTTTATGTATTTAAATTCTAAACTGTTTCTTCTAAATGTAAAGACTTATATGGATTGTCACTTTTTTCATGCTGCAACTTGCATCCATATATATATTTCATTCATTCATTCATTCATTCATTCATTCATTCATTGGTTAAAGAGCTAACTGAATTTGTTTAATGATATTATTGACCATGTGGAAATTCCTGGAGTGGGCCATGATGATAAAGGCTACAATCTTATAAAAAAAACCCTCATGATATATTAAATACACATATGCAGTTGCCTGATGCGAGTGTGGGAGCTTAATCATCCTCCCATTCCCCTTGTTTAGCATACATAGACTCTAGATGAGTGTGTGGATTTTAGAGTGGTGAATGGAGATGTTTTGTAAATCCAAAAGTAAGTCTTTGCCCAGGTCCTTTTTCATCTCTTTGTCATTTGTATTTCCCTTTATAATCTTATAATAATCATATAATCCTCAATTTATTTATTTTCTAGCATTTCCCCATCAGCTAGGATTTGTATCCCCTCTTCATCCTGTCTGTCCGTAAATTCTTCCATATTATTGTCTTTCACATCTTTCACTTTTTCTTTATAATCTTCTTCAAAAAATACTTTTATTGGTACAGAGATTATTGCTGTCAAATTAGCTATAACCCTGCATGTGCTTTTCTATAAATAGGGCTTAGCAATCTTTTTTTTCATCCAAGACATACAATTAAAAAAAAACCCTATTTTTTTGTTGGCCTTCAACTGCCATGGGGATGTGACAGTGATAATAGACTCATACATGTGGAAGGGTCATTTAAGCCCCTTTGAATCCAACCCCCAGCTTAGTGCAAAAATCAGCAAAGCTAGCCCATTGCTTCTCTAGATAATTGCCAAACTTTTCCTACTGTGTGGAAGTCTCTTTCTTGTTTTATTTTCTGTATTATACAAATGACCAGAAACAAATTAAAACAAAAAAAAAATGCACAGGCATACATGCATAAGAAAACTAAAAAGAAACAAGACCCAAAATAAACACAGATGTATATATAAAGCCAAACAAACTATACATGCTATATACACTGATATATACAGGTGTAGGGGAGTGCAGTGATTGCCTTGACAAAGGTATGCAAGAGTTGTTAGAAGAACTGCAAAGAGAAAGTAAATGAAAACTCAGTTCTGGGAAAGGAAGGGGCATGAGAAAGAGACTCAAAATAACCCTGCCTTGATTCTGTTTGACATGAGAGGGGCAGATGGAAGCCCTGGCAGGCTTCAAGATTCTGTTATTATACCCACAGTAATAAAGTATGTTCCTGTAGTCTTTGCAGGGTCTGTTTCCTGACTGGCCTAATTTGAAGGTCTGACAAGTGATGATCCTGTTTTTAAACAATGACTTAAAACCTACCCACGCAGAAGTTTGTTGATAGAGAGCCAATTCAAAGGCTGAAAGTAACTGCAGATCTTCAATCTAGAATTGTAAATCAGGAGGAATAGTTTCTTTCCAACAAAATAAAGCCATCTGTTTAGCTATACTTCAAGCATAAAGTTTTTCACTGATATATTCAAGTTTTTAATATATATTTCAACATATTTTTATCTTTCAGCTGTGTTCTCTTTGTCCATTCATATTAACAGTGGCTTACGTATCATCCAAAATAAAGTTTTTTGAATGTTTCATTAGAATCTGCCAAAATAAATATTTTATTGTATGTTCTGCATTTTGGATCAATAGAAAACATATTTTTAACCTTCCTATAACATCCTTTCAGATATTTAATGAATGCTGTTATATTCACCTCTAATCTTCCCTACTCAAGACTAAACATGCTCAGGTCCTTCAATTTGTCTTCATAGGATTTATTTTCCTAGTCATCCTAGCTGTCTAATCAACCAGTTCCAGTTTGTATGAATTCTCCTTAAATCATTGGTTTTCAGAACTGGACACAACATTTCAGATTGCACAGTGACAGTGCAGAGTCTCCCTTGTTTTGGAAATTATACTTCTGTTGATGCAACTTAAAATTGCAATTCCCTTTTTTTTTCCAGTCACATGCTGTTGACTCATAATTCAGTTTGCAATTAACTGTTATTCTAAGATCTTTTTCACAAATACCATTTCCAAGCCATTTCTTATATCTCTGCATTTGATGTCCTAAGGTAAAACTTCTTTTTAAACTCTGTTAGATTGCATTATGTTATTTTCAGCCCCTTTCTCTAACCTATTTGACTGTTTTAAATTTTATTTCTATCTTCTAGAGTCTTAGGTGTTATAGTGACAACATGAGAATGTGAATATGAAATCTCACTAGCCAGATAGCATTAAGTTCATATCACTCCCATTGTTTTCTTACAGTCCAAAATAAGTTCATTGTCTTATAACAAATGCAAGGTAAAGTGATGAATTTGTAGTATAATAGAAATGCAAATGAAGGTTCTATCAATTTGAAGCAAATGCTCATTGCAGGAAGGAAGATTAGATGGTGAAATGATGGATAGACTGTAACAAATGTAAGGAATGACAAAAAATGATAAGATGAAAGCTTGGTTGGCACACTCATCCCTGGCAATCATCTCAATAATGGAGGATCCCAGGACATATCAAACAAAGCATTCTGGGATTTCTTTGGATCAGGTTCCATCCAAGCTTGGCTCAGTGGCAGAAGATTTTAGGATTCAAGTGGCTGTGATGTGGATTGGTCACAGCCATTACTATACATGAGGCAATCTAAACCAGCTAGAATAGATTAAAGAAGCTGAAGTTAATAGGCACTTGGGACAGAATAGCTGTCCCACCCTATTTTGTGTCATCTACAGATTTGATAAACAGTCCCTTTTTGTAAATTCACATTGGCTTCTTCTACTATTCTTTGTAATCTGAATTATTTGCAGTTCTTTAGTTTCTGCTGTTTTAGGGTTTTCCATCCATTTCCTTTACCTACCTTCTTGTTTGAGTCCTTCCTCACATTGCTCTGACTTTATTAAATGAATTAATGGATACATTTTTAGTTTGTTTTCTTAATAGAGAGGTGGGTATAATTTTATTCATTTTTAGTAGAAGAGGTAAGATGAAAATATACTTCTTTAATGTGGTATTTTTTTATTCAAATGAAAATGAAATTATGACACCATTATTTGGGGAGTCTGCAAATGATCTGGCAGGATACACGGATGCAGTGTTGCCTACCTGCTCTAAAGGTAAGGAAAAAGAAGAGCTGAATAATTCTACATATTGTATAGCTTGCCCTTGCTTGGACTTACTTTAAATAGACTTATTATTGTGCTATTCATTAAATTCAGAATTTGCATTTCACTTCAGTTTCATAAAACTTAAATTTTATGCCGTTGCCGTTTAAATCTCTGATGATAGTTTTGTGAATCATTTCATCATGGAATAAATGATAGACAACAAAGTAATGGAGTTGAGAAAGTGGCAAATGTTGAACAAAAATGGTCAAATGCATTCTGAAAATATGCTTTAGTAGAAATACTCCTTTGCAACTCCATGTTGTTGCATTCC